GATGCTCTGAAGATAGCTTGGCCCTGAAGTTGCATGTCTCTCATGAAACAATATGTAAACATCTAAGGAATATGGGAAAACTCTATAAAGAAAGTGTTTGGGTGCATCCCAAACTCTCCTGTGATCATCGTTTCCATCGTGTGAACATTGCTTCGTCTCTTCTGGTGAGTAATGCGCATAAACCATTTTTGGATAGATTTGTCACCAGTGATGAAAAATGTATTCTCTATATGAATATTAAATGCCAAAAACAAAAACCACATCCGACCCCAAAACCTGGACTCCATCTGCAAAAAGTGATGCTTTGCATTTGGTGGGACATCAAAGGAGTAATTCATTTTGAACTCCTCAATCCACAGTGAACTGTTAATGCAGAGATTTATAATCAGCAACTGAACGTTTAAATCAAGCTTTTCATCAGAAATGCCCTTCACTCATCAGTTGGAAAGGTGTTCTTCTTCTCCGCAACAATGCACGTCCACATTTGGCACGTTTAACGCAACACAAGATTATGGAGTTGGGTTGAGAAGTTCTTCTCCACTCACCATATTCTCCAGATATGGCACCATCAGATTACCATCTTTTTCATTTTCTGCAACACCATCTTAATGGGAAAACGTATGCAAATGTGAAAGGTGCTAAAGAGGACATCAACATGTTTTTTTGCTTTAAAGCCAAATAATTTTTTTAATCAGACCATTAACAATCTGATTGTAAGATGGAAAAGCTTTTCTCCTCTTTGACTTCATACATTCTTTTCTGTTGCTGGTTCAGGATGGTTTTGTACATGACCTTCCTTCTCTTCCTTGGTCATTCTCCTTTTCTCTCTCTAGTTCTTATGGACCTTCTGAAATTTTTTTCATCAGACACCCTCCTTGTCTGGTTCCTCTTTTGGACTGGAATCACTGTTTAGTTCTCAGGGTGCTGACATATTTACTGTTTGAATCATTGGCCATCTTTTCATGTTTCATGTTCATCTTAAAACATATATTTTCTTAAGTAGAGCTTGGAGATTGCTTGGATGGATAGTGAAAGAATCTTTATTACAAATGTGCTGTGTTTGAAAAGCTAATGTTATCATATTCTTCTTATTTTCTCATGTGGAGCTATCTTCGTCACATTTTGCCTCGGATTCTTCCTGCACACTTTACCACAGGAACATGTTAATATTTTTCCTTGTCTGCTCCTTCCTCCCCAAAACTTGGACTGCTTGGAAGGGGGATTGGATATTTTCTCTAATCAGCTTCCTTTCTCATTCTTCCATGTACAATCAATCTGATCCAGATTGTCTTCTTTGTTCTGTATGTGTTATTTGTTATCTCCTCATACTGCCCCTTTTCAAGACAATCAACAACATCTTTTTTTTTTGCTGTAGGATTCCTCATCCTCTAATAACTTATCATCTTCCACTTTGACAGGTTATACACCTCATCCAGCTAGTTTATTCTTCTACAGGTGATGACACATTTCTTATTTTTATGTCTCTTCCCATCAAGTTCATCATCTCATGGATTTTCTTGCTTCTAGTTGTTGATGTTCTTTGTATGAGATTTTGTAGGCAGAGATATGGATGACCCATAACACATTTGTGTCTCACTATTTACTCCACATTTAGGTTTCATTTCCCTCCAGTTACCATTCTTTACTTTTACAGAGGTTTTCAGAAGGTGAATTGTTAATTTTTCACATTTTAAAGTAAATTTTATAAATACAGGAACAGTGTTTTGTTTTAGAACAACATTTAAGATACTCCTGAAAGGTACAGTTGTTGATTGAGAACTACTATGTTCAGATGCTATTATACCATTGTAGCCTCAACAATAATATTCATGTAAACTCCCAGAAAAACAATTGCAAATTTTCAGGACATGTTTTTATGTTTACTCTATTTTACAGCAGTTTGATGAATTCATAGATTCATACTGAAGGAATGCATAAATATGTAGGAGCTATCATTATATCACATTATGGAGAGTAGCACACAATTATTGTTCAAGAAAATATACTGATATATCCATAGTACAACACACAGAAACCTACTTCCTTTGATTCAACTTCGAGATCGATACATTTCATGCTGAAAATTGTCTTTGGTCATAACGACACAATGTGCCTAATCCTAAACTGGAATACAACTCAAACTTTATTTATGTATTTTGTTAAAGGATTAGAAAACAAGCATACAAGACAAGGCCTATACAAAGTTGACTATGATACCAGAAAGTTCCGATATGGTACTTACCTCTCTCATAAGATTAACTATTATTAATTATTCTCATTCAGTGCTTCCCTTTATATGCAAACTTTTCTTTATGCATGCCACAAGCCTTGTGCTCCCCCCTTGTTGTAATTATTATATTCCAACATGTCTCTCATGCGTAATCTCTTAACCAATAGTAGCATGACATGCTCACGTGATGCATGTAACTCCCTCTACACTCATCTACCGAACCTTTACTTCTCGTTTGGCAGTGTTTGAGTTTAGACGTCTTCTTTTGTGTGTTTAGTACTTCCAGTGTAACAAAAAAAAATTTGTGCACGATGTGGTCCCTTTTTAGGTTTATATTTTTCAAATTTTATATCAGTTCATTCTCATTGTATTGTTGAACTCGACAATTTGTGAACATTTTCTTGAGTTATGAATTCCAGAGTTCATTTTACTACTTCTTGGATCACACCAATGACAAGTGTATTTTACTCAGGCCTCATGTGTGGTGGGTCTCTATGCTTTTATACATCAGGATATTGAATGCTTCATGGGTCAACCTTTGTCCCCTGACATTACTCAGGCTCCTCCTGAGTTGGCTGAAATTGTTCAGAATGATAAGGATTTTGGATCAAGTTTTCCCATCTCCAGAGTTTGCTGATCATTCCCAATTGCAACCTGAGGATTCACCTAGGCCTAATTTGGTCACAGAGTTTGTGTCTCAGGTTTGGGATGTTTTATCCCTTTCCTCTCTCTCTTATTCACCTCGTCCTTCCTTGGTACATGAGACATCTTCTCAACACTTTTTGGTATTTTCCTCTCTCTCCAGATATTCGGGTACATGCAGATCAACTTGTCTCACATTTAAGTCAGAGGATTAGCACTTCCAGTTCTATCATCCAACCTCGATAAAACGTGGTATAATCCAATGCCTAAACAAGAGAGCAGAAAACATTTGTGATAATACATCCATCAAAACAGAATGCCGAAAGATTGTAGAGGGTTTTAAACAGAATGTTACACCTCCTGCTTCATCAAAAACTCCCTTAAGATGTCCACAACAGAAAGAAAAGATCAGAAAAACACTACCACTACTACCATTTACCTCCCCTTCCTGCAAAGTTTCAGTGAAAAACTCAAACGCATAGCCATGAAATTCAAGATAGAAGTCTGGTGGAAGACATTAAGGTCCATTCTGGTAAAAAAACAAACAGTAACCTACCAATGAGAAACACAAAACATCATTTATGAAATTCCATGTTCCTGCAACAAAACACATATTGGAGAAATGAGAAGAAGACTCGCAAAAAAATAAAAGAACATAAAGACAAAGACTCATGAAAGCACAATATTCATTCATTGCAGAACACGCCATGTCAAGTGAACACAAAATAAACTGGGAAAAACTAGAAACATCAACACAGACAAATTTTGGAAGACAACAAAAAATTAAAGAATCATATTATATTAAACCTTCACTAAACAGAGAATTTGGATTATAGGTGAGTAATCTGTGACTACCATTGGTTGAATCTGCAGGAAATCTTTCCCCAAATCAGAAACAGGGATAAACCAACCAATCATAACATGCTCTCCACAATCCATCAGAATACTTTAAAGACTGACAACACCTCACAGACACTGACCTGAAGACAAAAGACTTTCAAAAAGTCATCTTCTACCCTTACATCTCTTCAACAGGCAATTGTCATCCCTTCTACAGTTTCATCATGAATACTCTGCCTAAACAATCTATGAAAGAATACAGAAAGTAAATGTTCTTTTATTCACAACATGTAGAGGTAAAACACAACCTTATCAGAACTACAACCACACACACAATATAGCAATCCAGCTTTAATATGTTATATTTATGCTAGACATTATAATTTTTTGCACCCACAGTTTTTCAAGTTTTGCTAGAACAACATGTGATGCCAACAGAAGTCCTACATATGTTTTAAAAACTTGCACAAGAAATTTAATGTTTTGAACATTCAAGAGTTCTGTCAGCTTCCCTGGTAACAGTGTTTATCGCTTGAAATTTTCAAGTAATTAGAACTGAACTGTGGTCTTTCACATCTAGGAAAAGAGAATATTTTACAAAATATTACCCAGTCTGTTACCATGGTAACTGCCTTGCAGAACCTATCCATGTCAAGTCACAAACAAATGAATGTTCAAAGAAACATGCTGAAAGCAGCTACTGGCATGAACTCTAGTTCCACCTGAGAAACCGGAACATACTAAATAGGAAAACTGTGAAGAAGAAGTAGCTCTTATAGAACGAAGTACATTAATATGTTTTCTTCAATACTACCCCTAGAACATAAATTCTCAATGCTATTCGCTATAATTCACAAGTAGCCACAATTACATTTTGGGAAAAGGCCCAGGACATTAGATTTTGTACTAATCCTACTAATGAAGTTTCACAGTGTGCGTGTTGTTTCCTGATGTTTGGTTTCCTTGTGTTGAAACACAACTTTTAACAATGTCTTTGGTTTCTGGGTGTTAAGATATAACTTGTGACATTGTGCGAGTGATATGTGGGTGTTAAGACATAGCTTTTAATTGTGTGTATGTGATTTCCTGGTGTTGGATGCATGAATTTTATCAATATGTATGATTTATTGGTATTGGATACCCTCATGTGACATCTTTAAATTTTGTACTGATAGTGTTTTTTCCACTACTTAGTTAGAAATGGTTGCTATGGAGAACCCAACAAATTTGAAAAAGCAGTTAGTGGTGGAGTTTGATGGAGAGCAGGGTGTGGATGAAGGAGGAGTGTCTAAAGAATTCTTCCAGCTGGTGGTGGAAGAGTTATTTAATCCAGATTTTGGTAAGTTTCTGGATTATTGAAGTATTTGATTCTAAGAAGTTTATCAAACTGAAATAGTGTGACATTTATAGATTTCTCTAATTACTGTATGCTTTGAGTATATGTGTTACTTTTTTAAATACTGTAGTTTTATTGGCTTTTTATAAGTTTAGCAATATTTTTGTTTTGTAATTCTAACTTTCTTAATGATTTTGTGTGTGTTGATGCTCTTGACAAAAGTAGCATCAGAAACAATAGCTATTACCTTACACCACTGCTGAAAATATTTTGACACATTCACCAACTCTTGAATAAAGCTCCCACTCCTACACAAATGGATGTGTATTGTGCCAGTCTATGATGTAGTCATCATTAGACTATCCATACACAGTACTCATTTGAGCACATTGTGTATACTAAAGGCTCATTCTTTCTTTGCTGGCAATTCAGAGCTTTTTTGTTGTTGTTTTTTTTCATTATAAAGTAAGAAATTTTTGTGCTTATTATTTCAGACTATTATTTAACATTAAGTATTTTTTTTTTCACCTTTATTTTCTTGATTTTGAGAAAGAAAGATACAATTTGTTATAATAATACTCAGTTTTTATCAGTCCTGAAAATGCAAGTGCACGTTACTATCTAAATGCGCATGTGTAGTACTTTGTTAAGCCTCGCTGTAAGCTTCATTTATTCTTTCAAGTGAAAGGAGAAGACAAATTAATTTTTGTAGATTTCAAAAATAAATTTTAGAAAACCAAAGAATTATCAAATTACTATATTGGTACACATAAAACCACTGTAATTTATCTGGCTTTCTAACTAGCTATATGTGGGTTAAAAAATTTCCTCCTTCTCTGTCTACTTGCCTTGTCCTTGCTCAGCTTCTTTGCTATATATCCACATTTCACCTTCTTTCATTCACATCTACCAGTGCACCACCTTGGCTTTGATTTCTTCTTCTGCAGTGCCCCAGTTAACTTTGTTTCCAGGATTTGCTTACTTTCTTAAGCTTATCTTAGATACCTCTGTGTGACATCCCTTCTGTATGAAAAGGCTTTAGAGGAGCTCCTCATACACTGGAACATTGAGCTAAGTCAGATTATCGGCAGTCATCTCTACTCACTTTCATTTCATTTTAGCTTGATCCTGGGGACTCAACAGGTTTCTTGTCCTGTGACAGTTAAATCATCTGAATAAAATAAAAACTCTCAGTTTCTTTCCCAAGAATTGATTTGTAGAATATTTTACAAATTGTTGTTCTTGATCTATAGTAACAAGTTGCATGCCCATTCAATTTGTCTTTGGCCATCCCTTTAGCCTCTGACAACATAGGTTAAATGCCTTGAACCTCTTGTTGGAATTTAGTAAGTGTGGTGATATATAAGGGTCACACTACAGTACTTCTTGATATGTAGTTATCCTGTTTCATGTTATAAAAGTATGCATGACATGACAGTTTAACATCCTGAAGAAATAGAGGTATGTTGTGTTGAAATTTATCGGTACAGCTTGTCAAAAGAAGAATCCAAAACACAGCTGATGTAGGAACCTATAACTTTATCGGTACAGCTTGTCAATAGAAGAATCCAAAACACAGCTGAAGTAGGAACCTATATTGGAGTTGTAAACATAATAATTCACACAGATTTAGGTCTACAAAAGTAATACAAGATTTGTGTTCATATTTTTCTTCCAACATGAGTGAATGAAGTTTGTTTGTTTGAGTGCCTCTAAATCTCAGAGTAATTGATTATTGTCATGTCAAGAGATTTATTGTGGTTATTACTATAATGGAAAGAAAGTGTCAAGATGAAATCATCAGGCTAATGTGTTGACACCAGTATTCCCCAAGGAAATGTTACCTTTGTACAGATTGTATATCAATAAGGTATGAATTCATCAAGGCAAACCATCCAACCACATGGCTGATGATGTAGTAATTGTAATTATTAAAATCAGAATCTGCCTACTGCAAAAGTTGCTGTTATTAGATTTTTTGAATTAATTATTCAATTTAGTAGATTCCTTTTAACAGAAATACAAAAATTGAAAAAAAGCATTTTTTTAGGAGAAGCAAAGTAGTCCTTGTTTTGACCAAATGATCATCAGATACTAGTGAAAATTATTTCTTTAAATATTGCTTTTTTTCTACAGATGTTATTACTTCTTATATTCATACAGTGGTTCTTTTAAGTAATATCAAATATGCATTTATGCAGTTTGTATAGTAACTGATTTTAGTCACAAGATCAGTAGTTTGGAAATTTGCTGAAGTTTATGTAGTTTGTATAGTAACTGATTTAAATCACAAGACCTGTAGTTTGGAACTTAGCTGAAGTTCATGCACTTCATATAGTAAGTGATTTGAGTCACAAGATCAGTCATTAGCTGAAGACTTCCAACAAATTTTACAATTGCTAGGCTTAGTCAAGGAATTTGCACTGAAAATAGTTTCAAAACTCAGTTTCATTATTATGTTAATTAAAACAGTGATACATGTTTATTTTAGATTATAAGAAATGCTTAATTTTAACTCTGAAATTATATGTTAAAACCATTAGCCATAAATAAAAATGAAGAGTTAATCCTCCATCATATCTTTTAAGTAGGATGTAAATTTTGTTCTTAATCATAGTGAAGGAAGTTCCCATCATTTTTGTTGATTTACTTAACTCTGTAATTTTGATTAAAGATCAGATTAAAAGGTTTATCTGTGTTTAAGTTTAAAATATTTACAGTATGTTTCAGCACTGTTCAATTTTAGTAGTTATTCCAGTGCAGCAAGATTTTTATATAGCTGAATTTTATTTAAAAAGTTGCAGTTAACCAGATAAATGTTTTGTTTTGCATTTTTAGCAATGTTTACTCTCAACCAAGAGACTGAGACATATTGGTTTAATCCTACTTCTTTCGAGAGTGATGCACAGTTTACATTGATTGGAATTATTCTAGGACTAGCCATATACAATAATGTGATACTTGATGTACATTTCCCAATGGTTTTATATAGAAAATTGCTGGGGAAAAGAGGGTCTTTTCATGATCTGTATGACTGGAATCCTGTAAGTTTCTCTGTTTTTATGTTCTGTGTACTTCTCAGTGTAATTCCTGTCTGTATTCTGGCATGTGAAGTTTATTATGTTGAACTAGAATATATTTTTAGAGTTTTAAACTCTTTAGTTACATGCAGTACCAAAACAGCAAGAGAAATTAATGATATATCTTTGGAATGAAGCATTTAAGAATGCTTTGCTTCTGTGTATTAAAATTTACAACATAATTTTTCTAATATGGCCAGTATGAAAAGGAACTGTTTGTTTGGATTTTCAATGCAATGAAATTTATATTTGTATATGTTTGGCTTTTTTTTTTTTTCTCTCCAAAATGTATAGGAATTTTTTTCCAGCATATCCTTTTAGTCATTGTTTAGAAATATTGTAGCAAAATCTTAAAAACTGTAGTAGTTGACAGTTAATTGTTATCATTACTGTTTTTAAGTTACAGTGGCTAAGGACTTCTCTCTCTTTTCAGGACTTAGCCAGAGGACTACAGTATTTATTGGATTATCAGGACAGTGACATCGAAGATGTTTTCATGCAGTCATTTCGAATCACTTACCAGGATGTATTTGGAACATTACTTACTCAAGATCTGAAGGAAAATGGGGAAAAACTTCTAGTCAATCAAGCAAATAAGCAGGTGAAAGAATTAGTGATGTTAAAACTCACATTCAGTGATGTACTGCCTACATTTCTTCTCTGTATTTGTAAATATTAGTTTTGTAACCTAAAAAATTTGTTTCCCCACCAACAAAACTTTATACTGGTTCTGTCATATACCTTTTATTATTAGATTCTATAGATTAGTCACATCTGGAAGGTTGCTGGCCTGACCTTTTATAATTGGCAGAGATCTTGGAACCTCAGAGATAATATGTTTTGGCAAGTGTTTCACTTGTCTAGGTCAAACAGGTTTTGTGTGAGAGGTCACCAAATATTTGACCTAAAGTGTCTCCCATCTGCTTTTAAAGACATATTTTTGTTTCAAATTCTTTTTTTTTCCCTTTTAGTACTGTTTATCATAAGTTGAATTCATGTGTCAACATATTTTCCTTTTTGTTAGAAAGTGACTGTTATGTATCCTGATGTGTTGTGATTATTATTTCTGTTGGTTTGGTTTTAATGTACATATAGGTGCAACTTAATTTTAAAAACATTACAAGTTGTATTGTTGAAAAAGGACTTACCTAATACAGGAGTAAGTTTAGATTATTTTCTTTATGTATTGTTAATGTCTATAACATTTTGCATAAGATATATTGAATTTTTGGTCATTTTTTTGTGTGATATTTTTCCACTGTTTCAGGTGTCAAGTTCATTGTTCCTTCTGACTTTGATGATGTCATTATAATAGACATTACTTGGCTGACTTTTTGAACATAGCTTTAAAGTAATGTAGGTTCACTTTTTAAGCCTTTTAATGATTTTGGGTTTTGTTTTAAAGCTTTGGATTCTGTGCATGTTGATGAATTTAACAGTTTGCCAAACTTGATGAACTTTGGGTTCATGGACTTGTCTATTTTTAAGACATAATGAACTTCATAGGTCTAGGGTATTTTACCATTGAGGTAGGTAGCTCATCTCACAGGTTTTTGCATATTTATATAGCTTGGGATTTCTTCCTTGTTTTTGTAATTCTGGAATATTTAAATGGTGAATGAAATTATAGTGTACTGCTCTTGGGCTTTTTTACTGTCTCAATTCAAAACATAGTTGATATAACAAGTTTCTTTTGTCCTCTGTGAGTGTGAGGAGAATTCCTTTTGTCTTCATCTTGTACAGTCATCTAAAACCTTTGTGTCTGTTTCACAAAGCTTATCTACAGCTTAGCAGCTTAACAGAAAGCAGTAAGCTAACCAGTTAAACCTACATCCTTAACTAACTATTGGACATTGATGTACCTGAATACTACAGAAATTGTTTTTGCTTCCATTATATGAGTGTTCTATATATATAGAGAGAGATCTTGTTTCACCTGGTTTCATTGGTAAGAGTTTTCCTATCTGATGATCTCTCTTTCAGGGCCCAAACAAAATTTTAAAAGCAACAGGAATAATTTTTCACATCACATCACATTTTATTAAAGAGCTTAAAAACTTTACTTCTTGACCTAGCTGGTTGAAAAATGTTGTAATATAAATAGGGTTTTTAAGTTCTTCAGTATAAAGTTTATTGTAGCACCTGATGATGACCCAAACTTAGAGGGTTGAAGCATGTTGATTAATGTGTATACAACATTTAAACCCTAAGTAAAAAAGTTTCCTTTGGTAAAATAAATCATTTACTTCTGTTTTAGAATCTTTACAACAAGTTTATCTAATAAACAGCAAAATCTTCTTACTGTGTTTTATATTGTTTCACCTTTTTAATTTTGCCAAATCTTGCTGGAAACTGTATTGTTGTCATGGTGTGGAACTTGTAACTTGTTAAGAATATAAATAATTTTTAGTTTTATGTATTGCAAACAAGTATTAGTGAAACAATAATCAAATTTAACTTTGTAACTAAACAGACTTAACTTTCCAATTTTTTGTCAATTCCATTTGGATTTGCCATATCATCAGGAGTGTTTGTTATATTATGATATCTAGATTACATATTTATACCACACTATCCTTGAATACACATTTATGCTATTGGAGATTTTAAATGTAGTATTTAAAGGAAAACAGATTTAAGTACTGAAATGTGGTAACCTAATTTTTAGACTAGAAAGATTCAAAAAGTGTAAAAAATAATAGAACATTATTATTGGTCTGTATGTCAAATACAAATCCTGATAATGTTTGTTAAAGTTATTGTTCCATTTGAATGTATTATTTTACTTGTAGGAGTTTGTAGAAATGTATGCTGACTTCCTGTTGAACAGAGCAGTGGAGAAGCAGTTTCGAGCCTTTCGAAGAGGATTTCAGATGGTCACAGAAGATAGTCCCCTGAAAGAACTCTTCAGGCCAGAAGAAGTGGAGCTTTTAGTATGTGGAAGCAAGGTAGGAAATTTCAGAACAAAAAAAACAAACCCTTGCAGTGAGGAGTATATATTTCATTTATAGCTTTCTGGTTGAACAGTTTATCTTGGTGTTATTATAATACTATAAATACCTATTGTTTGAACAGTTTATTCTCTGTTAGTATAGCACTCCAAGTAACTATGGTTGAACAGTTTATATTGGTGTTAGTATTGTACTCCAAGTAACTATTGTTGAACAGTTTATATTGGTATTAGTATAGCACTCCAAGTAACTACTGTTGAACAGTTTATATTAGTGTTAGTATAGCACTCCAATAGTTACTTAGAGTGCTATACTAACACTAATATAAACTGTTCAACAGTAGTTACTTGGAGTGCTATACTAACACCAATATAAACTGTTCAACAATAGTTACTTAGAGTGCTATACTAACACTAATATAAATTGTTCAACAATAGTTTCTTGGAGTGCTATACTAACACCAATATAAACTGTTCAACAATAGTTACTTGGAGTGCTATACTAACACCAATATAAAATCTTCAACAATAGTTACTTGGAGTGCTATACTAACACCAATATAAACTCTTCAACAATAGTTACTTGGAGTGCTATATTAACACCAAGATAAACAGTTAAGCAATAGTTACTAGAAGTACTATGATGACACCAAGATAAGCTGTTCAATAATACTTACTTCGGAGTGCTATACTAACACCAATATAAACTGTTCAGCAGTAGTTACTTGGAGTGCTATACTAAAACTAAGAAAAATTCTCCTACCATAGTTACTTAGAATGCTATACTAACACCAATATAAACTGTTCAACAATAGTTACTTGGAGTGCTATACTAAAACTAAGAACAACTCTTCTACCATAGTTACTTGGTAGGAGAATTTTTTTTAGTTTTAGTATAGCACTCCAAGTAACTACTGCTGAACAGTTTATATTGGTGTTAGTATAGCACTCCGAAGTAAGTATTATTGAACAGCTTATCTTGGTGTTAATATAGCACTCCAAGTAACTATTGTTGAAGAGTTTATATTGGTGTTAGTATAGCACTTCAAGTAACTATTGTTGAACAGTTTATATTGGTGTTAGTATAGCACTCCAAGTAACTATTGTTGAACAGTTTATATTGGTGTTAGTATAGCACTCCAAGTAACTACTGTTGAAGAGTTTATATTAGTGTTAGTATAGCACTCCAAGTAACTACT